TGATCCTATTTTCCTCTTGAATTTGTGACAAAGGACCGTCAAGTAACCCAGTCTAACAAAACTTATCCAGAAATAAGCTTTTGTTTCAATTTAAAATGATATCGACCAGGACTCTAAAGACATTCGTCCCAAATGTGTCCACTCAGCAAGCAATCAAATGCTTTATCGAGTCCGGGAAAACTCAAATCAGTACAAATTATTTCAACCTCAAAAAGTCTCTCTTGTAGACATCTCATCGTGAATAATACTGCCCTTGTGTAAAAAAAGCTATAGGGTGCCCTTCAAATCAAGCAAACAAACAGCCGGTGGCTAAAGCTGGTCGAAGTGTGTACCCTAAAATTATTACTACTTCTCATACGTGATGTTTCCTCCAACATCCGTGTGGACATTGTAGATGAGATTGAAGTAAAGATGTTATTTTATTATTCGCTACCGACGTGGAGTCTTTTTTTAGACATCTCACCAGAAACGGATACAATTTGAAACCAAAGCACTGCAAGTAAAATACGTGTACGTGCAACACATATCGGGTTGGGAGAATAGAGATGACATGTCCGTCGAAAATTATATTTGCAATACAGTAATACAAAGAAATGAGTCAATTATGTCTCTCCTGAGAACTTGAATTCTGTTCTGCCTTCCCTTTTCCAGTACAACATAGCCTCCGCGATAAAGCTAGCAAGAAAAAGTATCGTCCCAATCCTCACTCTGCCACTTCAGTTTGTTTTGGTTTTGTCTAGACCATTCATATCGTAGGAAATGGTATAGACAGAACTGTCTGTGACCCGGAATGTTCAATTTTGCTATTCTTTCAGTCTTTTCATATGGGGAAGGTGGGTCTGGCTCAAGCTTTTAGTAAACCTTAACCGATTCGAAAAAAAGAAAAGTCAAGTATGTAAAGTAATGAAATCAACTCACAGATGGACTAAGCAGATGTGAGAGGAAATTATTCATGGTAGAACATCGGAGGTGGCAGATGTGTGCTGAGGATGTATGACATGACTCACATGACGTTGATCAAACATAAAACATACGCTGCAAATATTGAACACTAATGATATTTGATAAAAAATAAGAGTTTGATGATGAAAACTCCCATAATCAGAAGACTGTTTGGGATACATTTTTTACCTTGTTAATTTTTTTATTAATAAAGCAACCATCTTATGATTATTAAATATCATTTTCATTGCAATTTTCATTATTTTTTAGAATGCACAAGCATTTCTTTTAAAAACTCTTGGTACATATTTTCGGAGTCTGGAAAAAGATGGGAAGAGAACAGAGACTTCTGTCGGTGCAAAGGAGGAGACTTGGTATCGATTGAAACTGAACAAGAATGGAAATTTATTAATAAGGAGATTCAAAAGCGCAGTACTACCGACGGTAATCATGAATGGGACATTGGTTTAATAAAAAAGGACGCAAATTGGACTTGGGTGAGTGGAATACCGTTGACTATATGCAAATGGAGTAAAGGGGCACCAAGTGGTGACGGAGATGTTGGTCAAATATACAAGAAGTCTCCTTATGGCAAACAGGGCCTTTTTAATGATCTCGCTGGCAATCGACCCGAAGCTTTTATTTGTGAAATTTCCAAAGGTAAGACAGAGTTAGTGTATCTCTTAGTTATAATGTGCGCTATGATTTTTTCCAATTTAGCGGACCACATTTCCCTTTCTGGCCCACTAAGCTAGATTGATTGGAACCCAGATTCAAATAAATATCTGATTAGTTTTCTCGGTCCTTGAGGTAATCATTTATAAGTACGCAGCAGAAACTGTTTTTTTTTTCACTCGGATTTATGGCCGCAGTTCGTAACTTACAGTACGGCACTTGAACTGAAAAGTGATAATAAAAACATTATTGTTAACAGAAATCATCGTGACTGCAGAGATTATGAAGCTTCCGGATCGAGTTTACACGTATAGTTGCATGAATGAAGATACAATTGAGAAATTGTTAACCAACGTCGTAAGTAACATAGCAACATTAGGCAGAGGAAAGGAGACACATGGATACGTGACAGTTTCTGTAACGACATGCGCTACTACTATAACGAGTAACACAGCTATGGAAGCTTGCAATTGTCGGTTATTTTCATGCTTTTATTATTTTATTTTTTGCTTCGATTTAACAAAACGATGGTTAATACCAATCGCAAAGAATCGTCACTCCAGCTATTGTGAAGTGCTTTATCTTTACAGAATTAAAGGGCTTGTGATTCAAATTCGCAACAATACATGCCAATTTATTACTTTACAAAACAAAAATATGAGCCTTCTAGATCCACTCCATCAGTGCATAGTGTTTATTGATATATATATTTTTTTAATCGCTTCATTTGAACCGGGCAGTTAAGAAGTGTCACCATGTTCAGAGAACATAATGAATCGACCATCATGGACCTAGTAAATAAATAAACAAATAAAAGACCCTCACGGCAGTGTTACAATATATTTGGTGTTTTACTTACCAAAATATTCGTTATTACACTATCC